CACACAGACACAGGGAGAACATGAAAACTCCAGGCAGGTGGTGGCGTGGTTGGGATTTGAACCAATGATCTTAGTACTACCAGGCGGAAGTGCTAACCACTTAGCCACTGTGCTGCCCTAATATATGGCCAGCTTTAGTCTGTTATTTTTAAACTAACGATAAGGCCCTTTCACACGGGGCAGATTCTATTGCGATCAGTAGAGGATTTGTGAATGGATTTCATGCGGATGCAGCAGAGTGGACAGATGACACATCAGCTGCTGAGTATCTGCAGAGCAGATATGAGAGGAGCCAAATCTGCTCTAGGAGTAAACCGACTCTGCTGTCCATTTACACCTAGCTAGCTCTGATCTGCTCCACCTAAACAGAAGAGGACAGAGTCCTTTACTGTTTTTTTTATTGGGGGGGGGGGGCTGATTGGACCTGGGGATAGGAGAGTGTAAACAGACACAAGCCAGTTTACCCCTGCTTGTCCACAGGAATGAATGGACCTTCTGATCAGGTCCATCGGACAGGTGGATCTGATTGGAATGCCCGTCTGAAAGGGGTCTAACAGACGAAGCTGTACAGCAACAGTGGCAGTTAGAGGGTTGATAATCTGTTCAACACGCAGGCGTGCGGCACAGTGGCATAGTGGTTAGCACTTCCGCCTGGCAGTACTAGGGTCGTTGGTTCGAATCCCAGCCACGGCACCACCTGCCTGGAGTATGCATGTTCTCCCTGTGCCTGCGTGGGTTTCCTCCAGGTACTCCGGTTTCCTTCCACACTCCAAAGACATGCAGGTAGGTGCATTGGATCCTGTCTAAATTGTCCATAGTATGTGTATGTATGAATGTGAGTTAGGGACCTTAGATTGTACACCCCTTGAGGGTTAGGGACTGCTGTGAATGTACTATATTTATATATATATATGTAAAGAGCTGCGTAAATTGACGGCGCTATATAAGTACCTGAAATAAATAGAAATAAATAAATAACACTGACAACTTTTATTCATTTATGTAAAACCTTTATCCCCAAAAGGTAAAAAAAAAAAAAAAAAAAAAAGAAAGAAATGTACCTGCTTAAAATACGGTCAGCTGGAGTCTGGCTTTAAATCTGTTAGTCAATTTCATCTATTGCTATGTGTTAGTACATCAGTTGCTCCTCCATGGAAATTGAGTGAAAATTATCCTATTGGCTAGATAGGATGCACCTCCTTTTCTTTTCCTTTTTTTTTGCCCTTTGCAACTTTATGCTTTTCTTTCTTCCCTTTGATTCTGGTTGAATGGTCATAAGGCAATTTATATTGACCCATCGTGTGGCTGGTGGGGGTGTTGGTCTCAGATGTTCCCTGAGTTCTACTCACCGACTGGTTACACAAAGCAGTGTTGAAATGAATGATGAATGACTGTATATACTAGAATATGCTCATACACTATTGTCACACCCTATGTAGAGCATTTGTTTAGGCTTTACATGACTTAAGCTCTGTTACAACTGCGCTCTCTTTTTTTATATGCTATTGTAATACTCTTTTGAAAACATTAAATATCAAAGGAACAGAAAAAATAAAATAAAAATACCCAAGCTTGCTTTCAGCACATGCACCATTAACTTCAAGGTAGGCTTAAAGCACTTACAAATCAGGCTAGAAAGTTTCATTGCTATGCCAACATCAGAATTTTGGAAGTGTCCCTCTAGTAAACAATGGACAGGGGAACTACATCATTGCTGTTTAAGTTCAAGTATTATCACAAGCACTAAATAGAAAAATGTTAGTGGGCAGAAATGGAAAAAGGAGAAAACACATTGATTTGAAAGCACTTCAATGTAATGTCATTTCCCTCTTTTATTACTCCATTCTTGTATTAAGCAGCCATCTTCATCATTCATACAATGCAAACAAAAAAATCAGAGAGCTCTTTTTCATTAAAGTGTTACTAAACCCACAAAAGTAATCAGTCTGTATATGCAGTAAAGTGTGTTTTTTATCCTCACTGTTGAACCTAAGGGGTTAATCCTCCGTATTGTGTAAAAAGGCTGTTTGATCCTGTCTTCTCTGATCCTCTCCTTCTTTCACAATCCCCAATCCATCTGCCATAGTACAGAGCAGCAGTGTCAAGTCTACACATGATCTGTTTGGTGTGTATTGTTAGAGAGCTATTTTTTTTGCTTTTTTTGGGGGGGGTGTATGTGATTGGCACAGGGCAAATCAGTGCTGTCCGGACAGAGGGTCAGGGGTCATGCAGCCTCATAGGCAATCAGAGGAGAATGAAAACTCCTCCTATAGGATTAACCAATGTTCAGCCAGATATTGATAGAAGTCACAAGACTGCTATATTCTGCCGATAGGAAAAGGTATTTAGACGTTTATACTGACTAAAATATTTGCATTCCCATGTTCTGTGTACTTTGGAAGATCAGATATAGTGAATGCAGGGTCCAGGGTTTAGTTACATTTTAAGGGTTAACAATTTGAAGAACACAGTGTTTTTACGCTTTAAGGTTTGCTTGAAGAAGACAACTTGTACTAAAAGTGAACCTGTCAGCTGATTTATAGTGGTTGTAAAAGTAAAAGGTTTTCCACCTTAATACATTCTACGCATTAAAGGTAAAAACCTTTCCATGTCAGCTCAGCTGAAATACCAATCTAAGCCCAATGTCGATCCAATTGTGTGCACACCTGCTGCTCTTCTCTCCCCTTTCTCAAAAAAGGCTCAGCAGCAGTGGGAGCCAATGGGTGTCAATCAATTCCTGTGAGCTGAGAGTGGGGGGCGGGGCTGCGCTGCACGGTGTGTGTCAAAAGAGGCACACGGTGCGATTCAGGATCGAGCCTGCACGAGTGCCCCCACAGCAAGTGGCTTGCTTTGGCGGCACTCGGCGAAGAGGAGCCAAGAGAGCATGGGGGACCCCAGAAGAGGAGGATCAGGTTTGTTTACTGGCACAGAGCAGGCAAGTATGAAATGTCTGTAATTTTAGAAACAAAAAATTAAACCTTTAGAATCACTTCTAAAGCAAAAAAAAATAAAAAAAAAAATCTGCTTATATTTTGCTTTCCCTATTATTTTCGGTCTTCACTCTTATAAGTCTTCTTTCATTCTGTTTAGTTTGCTCTGGGAAGGGTAGGAGGAGGGAAAGGGAACTAAGCGCCGAGAAGCAGACAAGATGGGGCCAGCTTCAAAAATAAGGGGTGAGAGTGGAGTACACTCAAAACATAGTGAGGAATAGAATAATGGTGCTTCGGAGCATTTATAATTTGCTGAACATTTATAAATAATTTGCTGAACTAAGCAAATGGGGTTCTGAAATGTTTTGGTGGCGAGTGGTAGACTTTACATTCACTTTCAAAAGCATTAAAGCTGAAGTTTAATATTTATTTTTCTATTAACAATGAAAACATTGTGCCACAAACAAAAACAAAATAAAAACAAAAAAAAGGAACAAACACAGACGAATGTGATATCTGCTGCAGTCTTCAAAATGTGCCTAAACTTCCACATTTGTGAACCCTAAAAATGGGAATCAAAATTACTAAACAGTTTGCCACATGTAAAAGTATAAACAAACACCACCAGAAAAATCCAATGTATCAATAAGTCCCATTCAAATAATAATTGCTTGAAAAACAAAAAAGATAAGTGTAAGTGAACAAGTGCTGGTGTCATTAATAACAGATAAACAGGTGACCACTTCCAGGAACTCCAGGTGACCCCACATGGATTTACACTCACCAAAATAGATGGATCTTCTATTACTAGATATGTCTCATTGTGCTTAACCATTCACATGTACCAGGATGCGATTTCTTCCAATGCAATGCCACTCAAAAAACAATATCAGGGAAAAAGGTTAATTGTGCAAAGCAGCCGATTTAATGAAACCATATAAAACTTTACAATTACCCTGTACTCACATGTATATGTGCCTAAGGACCAGCACCAGGTACATATATCGCTTTTAATTAAGATGGCCGCTGCCACTTCCGAGACTGGAAGTTGGCTTGCGCTCCAGGGATGAGATGTGACTTAATCGGCTGGAGAACACCACCTCAACTAATTTCGTCTGTGTTTGGACATCCTCAGGAAGCTTCTTGAGGCAGCCATCTTAACAAATAGCACTGTATGTGTCTGGTGCTTGTCCTTGGGCACATATATATGCAAGTGCAGTGTACTTGTAAGGTTTTCATATGGTTCAATAAAGTTGGTTGCTTTGCTTAATGAACCTTTTTCCTGATACTTTTTTTGAGTGGTGGTGTATTGCACTGGAAGGAATCTCATCCTGGTACTTGTAAATGGCCCTCGATCCCCTCGTGTATTAAATTGTATTGTTACTGTACTGTCTTGTGTACGGTCTCCCATTATAATGTACAGCGCTGAGCAAACTGTTGGCGCTATATAAATCCTGTATAATAATAATACAGCGTAGTGAGACCTATCTAGTAATAGAAGGCCCCTCCATTGTGGTAAGTGCAAATCCATGTGGGGTCACCTGGAGGTGGTCACAGGTTTATCTGTTACTAATGGAACCAGAGCCTGTTCACTTACCTTTTGTTTTTCAAGCAACTATTATTTGAATGGGACTTACTGATATATTGGATATTAGTTGCATTTTCTGGGGTTGTTCATGGTTTGCATTTTTTTTACTTGTAACAAACGGTTTAGTAATTGTGATTCACATTTTTGGCAGCATGGTCTATATACAGATTTTCAGAATTTCTTTTCTTTTTTTTATTGTTTGGGATACAGCACCATACACATTGGATATATTTAATGGTGTTTATTCCATTTCTTGTTGATACTTCATTATCTGCTCAAAATCCCCCGTGCCATGTCTCATTCACAGCCTCCGGTTACTGCCCTGAGCAGCTGTCTTCTAGCACTGTGGGGGTTAACAGCAGCAGCTCCTAATCAGGAAAGCGGTTTGACTGGAATTTAGCTTTAGGATGCCCACTAACCTTTCCTAGTGTTTTATCATCTCTAAAAGGGATGTGAAAATCTGCAAACGAAAGATTTCTTACCAGAGTCACCGTCAGGTTCATGATTCTACCAAGTTGGTCCACATAAAACACACTATCAGAACACCATGGATTACTGTGAAGGTAGTTATACATGCCATAGGCCTGCATGTGGTCCAGTGTGTACTGATCATCTCGGAGCTTCACTTCTGCAACAGCTGAAAGGAGAGACACAGACAGATAAAGGGTTACTTTAACACACTGACCAGTCTGAAACTTTCACAGCTTATCTCTGTAATGGCACGCCCTGCTGTCCAATCCCCGCCAGCTGCGGGAAATGAGAAGCTGGATTAGAGCACACACTGGAGAAGTGAACATTGCTCGTGTTTCCAGCAGGGTCTAGAAATGAGTATGTGAATGTATAGAAGCCTTATTATAATAGTATTGCAACTGCTGCATACCAGCTGAAAGCTAAAATCAGGTTTCCAGCAGGAATGCCTCTTGTGAATTGATGGGGAGGTGTGTAGGTGGGTATCACCAGTGTAAAGTTCTTTTCTAATAGACCAATTAGCATGCAGGAGGCGGGGCATGGACATATAGGGGGCGATTTACTAAAATTGGTGCACACAGAATCTGGCGTGTGTGCATGGTAACCAATCAGCTTCCATGTTTTATTGTCAAAGCTGAACCAGACTCTGAGTGCTCCAGTTTTAGTAAATCTCCCCCATAGTCTTCATAACTGCAAGCTTTGAATAGGAGCGATAAGTGAAGAATTATTCATACTCTGAATGTTCTAAAGGTTATTAGTAGTGTACCCCAAGGTTCGGTGTTGGGAACGGGAGCGGACTGACCATTTGGGCACTCAGGCACTGCCCGAGGGCCCAGGGTCAGTAGGGGGCCCCATGAGATGCTGCTAGTACCTTTCATAGGCTTTTTTGGGCTTTTTTCCCCTATTGCCCGGGGACCCCATGAGTTGTCAGTCCGCCCCTGGTTGTGAGCCTTACTTTTCAACCTACTTATTATTTATACAGATTTGGGTATTTAAGGCTAATTCACACTCTGTGCAGTGACCAGCATTTTACTGCACTGTCATAATGTCAGTTACCGTTAGGACAAACAGAAAACTATTTTTTTTGGTGTGTCCTAATAACACTGCAACGCAGCCCTGAGCTGTGCAGCAATGCGCAAAATCATGTATATGTATATGTATGTATGTATGTATGTATGTATGTGTATATATATATATACATATATACACACACACACACACACATATATACACACACACACACACACACACACACACACACGACTTCGCATTTCCGAGTAGGGGCCCTATCCGTGCTGCCATTCTCGGCCGCGGCTCTCAATCACAGGGTCCAGCTGGTGATTACTCGCCGGCACCCGGTGATTGCCGAGGATCTCCGACAGGGAGGAGAACTGTTAGTAAATAAAACAGTTCTCCTCCCTGTCAGCTCTGGCACACTGCTTTGCATGGCTCTGCACAGTGAAGCACAAATACAGCACACATTGTAAAATGGCACATAGCACACAGTTAACCCTTTGATCACCCAACATGCTGACCCCTTCATGCCCAGTGCCATTAGCACTGATCACTGTATTGGTATCACTGGGGAGGTCAGTGATACCAAGTCAATTCCCCCCAGTGTCAGAATGCCTGCCGCAGTCCCGCTATAAGTCGCTGATCGCCGCCATTACTAGTAAACCTTAAAAAAAAAAAGTCCAGTATATATACCACCATTTTGATTTGTAAACGTTACAACTTTCAGGTAAACCAATTAATTAACACTTATTGGGATTTTTTTTTTTTTAGCAAAGACATGTAGCAGAATACATTTTGGCCTAAATTTGACGAAATTTTATTTTTTAAATTTTTTTACTGCACAGGTTTAATAGCAAAAAGTCAAATATATTGTTTTTTCCCTCAAAATTGTAGGTCTTTTTTTTTTATAGAGCAAAAAAAAATTAAAAAAAAACGCACGGGCGATCAAATACCAGTGAAAGAAAGCTCTATTTGTGGGGAAAAAAAGGACGTAAATTGTATTTGGGTACAGCGTTGCATGACCGCACAATTGTCAGTTAAAGTAACACAGTGTCGTAACGCAATAAATGGCCTGGTCAGGAAGGGGGGGTAAATCCTCTGCAGGGCAATTGGTTAAGGGGCGATATGATCAACATGTATAAATAGAGAGTTTACAAATGGCGGTATATTTACTGGAATTTATTTTTTAATACTAATAATGGGGGCGATAACGACTTATAGTGGGAAAGCGTCAGGCATTCTGAATTGGTGTCACTGACATTCACAGTGACACCAATACAGTGATCAGTGCTAGAAAAAAAAAAAAAAAGCAGACACTGTACTAATGGCACTGGGCAGGATGGGGTTAACAATGAGGGGCAATCAAAGGGTTAACTGTGTGATGGGAGTGTTTTACTAGGGGGCTTCACTGTAAGCACACTGATCGGGATGGCTCCACTCAGCCATCCTGAGCAGTGTGCCCAAACTGACAGGGAGGAGAGTTTGGTAAACAATGCATCCCTCCTCCCTGTTGGGGATCGCCAGTAATCACCAGCCGGGACCCGGTGAGTGACACCAGGGCCCGCACGTGCCCTCTACCCGGAAATGCAGAATCACGTGTATATATACACACATGTGATTTTTGGCACAGTGGCCGCCCTGCAGCAGTAAATGTACTGTGGTCGGTCCTTATGCGGTTAATTGAACAGTTAGAAGCGGATTGGTTACCACCATGCACAGCTGCACCAGACTTGGCACTCTCCAGGTTTAGTCAATCAACCCCTCTCTCTGTTATTTCTATCTACTGCAGAAAGTGTCACCTTTTTTTCAGCTCCATAGAGTGCTGCCTATCCAAGGAATGGCTGGGATGCCAAATTCCCCATAGGCTGTGAAGAAGTAAAAGAGACAGTCAACTCTCTCTATAGGATACATTAGCCAAAGGCTAAGGCCTCATTCACAGGAGTACTGATCCATAAACCTGTGTGAAGGGCCATCTTCACCTGTTCTGCATGTACAGCTGTTCCTATCCATGTCTGTTGGGATGCAGAGGTTGTAGAGACCAGGGTGGATTTGATTTAAATCAAACTGATTTAAATCACGATTTAAATCACTAGTCAGTAAGGCTTGATTTAAATCCTAGTTTTCTACATAAAGACTAATTCTTGCTGGTATAACTTTAATATGCAAGTAGATGAAGATTTTTAGAATAACAACTTTTCATATTAGTTTTTTTATCCCCAGTTTAATAGGTTAATCATTCATATTTGGACAACTTTTCTGTTGTACTTAGGAAGAAGAAAAATAATCATTACCTTAATAATAACAATTTAAATAGATTTATTCAACTGAAACAATAACATTCCAGCATATGTGATTTGCTTAAACATCCATGTTTGTTAACTAATTTGGCTAAACAAAATATATATATTTTAAGAAACTTAGACTGTCAGCCCCTTCCTCCTCACACTTAGTTTCACTTTCTTCTTGTGCAGATCTATTCCACTCCAAACAATCAGAAAAATTTGTTTCTATTCTATTCACTGAACTTCTTGAAACTTAGCACTGAAGGGGTTGATTCTGTATTCATAGGTTTGTAGAAGTTAGGATTAAGGTCTTTTTCTTAACTCTGTTCATGTTATAACATTTTTGCTGTGAAGAAGAGGCATGTGATCTCCGCTGAGTCAAATTCAGTTTTGAGAACTGCAAAGTAAACCAGCATCTGTGATAATATCTTGTAGGCAGAGAAACTGCCCAATAATCTTACAGAAACCTCTGGAAGATCATGACATTGTGAATGGATTCATGGAATTTATTTACCAAAAAAATTAAACATATACAGCCTTATTCTACATAATTAAAAAAAAAACTAATCTTTATTTCATGATGGAATAACCTTTGGATGGTAATATATTTTCCTCAAAAAGCATTTTATTTAAATAAAAAAAATCCGATTTTTTATTTTTTTTTTTTAAAAAATCATTGATTTTTATCCACCCTGGTAGAGACATAGCCGCTGGCCCCACTTTGACAGCCGTGTTGGTGTGGGACCCCGAACACAGACAGTCCCATGAACGGGTTTGCCTGCATGCTAATACATAAACACCTGTGCAGCTCACGTAGGTTAAGACAGTCCCTTGCAAGAGTCTGCAGATCAGTATACCCATGTGAATGAGGCCGAATCAGATGTGAAACTCAACAACAATACACAATTAATCTATCCAAACAGGGAGTAAAGCCAACATCACAGTACAGGCCTATTCATACACATTTTTTCTGCTCAGCATCATCAATGCACACCAGGTGCAAATGCTAAGCAAGTAAAGCGCCCCTTCATATGTCAATGGACCATTTTTCTTCCTTTACAAAAATAATTTAAAAACACAAGACTACTGGTGACATCCACGTTCAGTAATGTATTCCTCAATAATGGACATTTTCCTCCAATCAAGAACAACACGCACACTTAAGACTGACTGCGATGGATTTGCATGTTGTTAACTGTAACAAACACTTCTGCATCAATGCTTAGAGTGGAACATCTAATTATGTATTCAGCATTTTCAATACATAGTTATATACTTCACAGAGACTTCAATGGTACATATCTGCTGAGTGCCCAGCAAAACCCACAACCATTATGGGAGATGCACTTCAGTCATGCTCTAGCAGGAAATAAAGCGCAGATCCACTCCATTGCTGCAACAATCACATGCACCATCCAAATGTAAAGGAACCACAACTCCCAGCATTATCTGCCAGCCTAAAATTTTCAGCAAGGAAATGCTGCCATTAAAGTGTATCGAAATCCAAGAACAAACATTTTATTCAAAGTGGTTGTAAACCTCAGACATGAAATATGAACAAAGCATGTCCCTCCACATAGTGTGCTTGTTTCAATGCAGAGAGCTAAGTGTCATTTCTGTCAGCTGCTTTATTCCTCTGCTATCAGCATGAATCATTTCTGACAAGTTTTCCTGACACGGACAGAAAAATGGTGACAAGAGAGGGAGCTCCATTTGCCCGACACCTTCAGCTCTGTTCCTATGAGCTGTGTGAAGAGGAATGTGTCCCTTCCTTCAAAACAGTTCTCCAAGGTCTCCTCACTGAGCTCTGCAGAGTGTAATTTCAGCTCAGTGTCCTCTTTTTTCTGAGAGCTCAGACAAGCTGTATAAAATTCTTGACTCTGAACAGATGTAGATGTAACTGCAGATAAAACAGGTACATCTTATGTAGGAGGATTTGTTTCATCTCTGTATCACCTGAGGCCAGTCACTTCACTGGGTATATGTAACGGGTTTACAACCACTTCTCCCCAGGTGGATGTCATATGATGTCCTCGGATTGAAGTGGTTATACTAGGATGATGCCTACAGCTACAAACATCATCCTGGCATCAAAATTAGAAGCTTATGCTCTTTGATGCAGAAGGGATTTGAGTGGCTACAGCCACTCCATTACTTCTACAGGCAGTGGAGGGGGGTGCCCGGGACCGATTTAAATGGCACCATCAGCTGCAATACACAGAAAGAGGAACTGACAACGTTCCTCCCACTCTAGAAGATCAGAAATTGAAGGCGACGAGGATTTTGTCACTTCTGTTTTCATTTTTTGTTTATAAGACACTACCTCTATGATCTAGGAGGTCACCTCTATGATGCAGGAGGCCTAAAGAGATGTACTTCTGGTTTATGGCAAATATAAACCATGACATTTTGGGGAGGGGGGGGGGTGTCAGATCAATTTTTTTTTATCTGATGCTTTCAAGGGTAGAGGAGAGATCTGAGGTCTCTCCATTAAGAGGACCTGTCACGCATACTGCCATCACAGGGGATGTAAAAAAATAAAAATACACATACACACATAATATATATATATATATATATATATATATACATATATATATATATATATACACACACATACATACACACACATATACACACACACACACACACTATATTGCCAAAAGTATTGGGACACCTGCCTTTCCACGCACATGAACTTTAATTGCATCCCAGTCTTAGTTTGTAGGGTTCATTATTGAGTTGGCCCACCCAACAGCTTCAACTCTTCTGGGAAGGCTGTCCACAAGGAGGAGTGTGTCTATGGAGATGTTTGACCATTCTTCCAAAAGCACATTTGTGAGGTCAGGCACTGATGTCGGACGAGAAGGCCTGGCTCGCAGTCTCCGCTCTAATTCATCCCAAAAGGTGTTCTATGGGGGTTGAGGTCAGGACTCTGTGCAGGCCAGTCAAGTTCCTCCACCCCAAACTCGCTCATCCATGTCTTTATGGACCTTGCTTTGTGCACTGGTGCGCAGTCATGTTGGAACAGGAAGGAGCCATCCCCAAACTGTTCCCACAAAGTTGGCAGCATGAAATTGTCCAAAATGTCTTGGTGTGATGACACCTTAAGAGTTCCCTTCACTGGAACGAAGGGACCAAGCCCAACTAAGGGGAGTACCAGAGAAGTCAGGATCAAGCAGCCTTTTTAAACAAATGCTTAACCCTTTAGGTTCCATAGTGAGAATAACAAGCATGCTTTACTGCATATAGACGGATTTTACTGTTGTGGGTTTAGTAACATTTTAAGGCACGACATTCCTGTGTCGTTCCTTCAGAGCTCTGTGTCACAACTGTGACGTCATCATGGCTCCGACATTCAAGTGGCCGCAGCCTGGGAACCCGGAAGGAAAACTGGGTAAAGATAGAAGCCTCTGCAGCGGTGACAGCACGCCATTGGAGGGATTTGTTTCAAAGCAAGTCTTTCATAATGTGCTAGAATGCAATACATACTAGCACATTATGCCTTTAACCACTTGCCTACCAGGCACTTATACCCCCTTATTTACCAGGCCAATTTTCAGCTTTCAGCGCTGCCGCACTTTGATTGACAATTGCGCGGTCATGCAACATTGTACCCATATGAAATTTTGATCATTTTTTTCTCACAAATAGAGCTTTCTTTTGGTGGTATTTAATCGCCACTGGGCGCTTTACTTTTTGCGCTATAAATAAAAAAAATTGCAAAAAAAATTGAAAAAAAAAGTTTCTTTGTTTCTATTATAAAATTTTTCAAACAGGTATTTTTCTCCTTCACTGATGTGCGTTGATGAGGCAGCACTGATGGGCACTGATAGGCGGCACTGATGGGCACTGATAGGCAGTACTAATGAGGTGGCACGGATAGGCGGCACTGATAGACAGCACTAATTTGCAGCACTGATAGGTGACACTGATGATGACTACTGATAGACGGCACTGACTGGCATCACTGCTGGGCACTGACTGGCGGCACTGACTGGCACAACCGCTGGACACTGACTGGTTGCACTGACTGGCAGCACTGCTGGGCTGCACTGGTGGGTGGCACTGGTGGGCGGCACTGGTGGGTGGGCACAGGTGGGTGGCACTGGTGGGTGGGCACAGGTGGGTGGCACTGCTGGGCACAGGTAGGTGGCACTGCTGGGCACAGGTGTGTGACACTGCAGAGTGGCACAGGTGGATGCACTGCTGGGCACAGGTGGATGCACTGCTGGGCACAGGTGGGCGGAGCTAGTGGGCGCACTGCTGGGCACAGGTGGGTGGAACTTGTGGGTGCCACTGCTGGGCACCGATCATCAGGGCACTGATCATCAGTGCCCTGATGATCGGTGCCGATCCTCGCTCTGACAACTGCCGGTTCTCGGCAGTACTTTCCTCACGATCTGACAGCGTGAGGAAAGTGCAGCCGAGAACCGGCACTTGCATTTCCCTCTGATCAGCGTCATTGGACACCGCTGATCACGTGGTAAAAGGCTGCTGTGATTGGCCTTTTACCACATCACGTGATCAGCTGTGTCCGTAGGACACAGCGATCACAGAGATCGCCGGGTGCGCGCCCCCTGGGGCGCGCAGGAGAGCGCGTTCTGGGAGGACGTCATATGACGTCCACTCAGAACTGGCAGGCCGCAGTGCAGCCGTCATTCGGCTATCTGCGGTCGGCAACAAGTTAATTTGCAGAGGGAAATCATTTTTTTTTTTAACTTTACTATCACTTTTTTCCAGCCTTTAGTCTGTTGGGCTATATCTCTGCTAACTTTGCACATCTAGACTTTGCAATATTTGCCCACTCTTCTTAGCAATGCTCAAATTCAATTGTATTGATGGCGACCATTTGTGGACTGCAGTCTTCAAGTCATTCCACAGATTTTTAAGTCTGGGCTCTGACTAGGCCATGCAAGGACATTCACCTTTTTCGCCCTCAACCACTGTGTCATCATTTTGCTGTGTGCTTTGGGTCATTGTCATATTGGAAAGTAAACCTTCTTCCCATTAACATTTTGGCAGAGGGCAGTTGATTTTCCTCATGAATGTGACAATATTTCTCCCCATCCAATTTCTTTCTATCCCGACAAGTGCTCCAGTCCCTGCTGCATAGAAACCCCCCAAAACAGGATATTACCACCTCCATGCTTTACTGTAGGAATGGTGTTATTTGGATAGTGACCTCTATTGGACTTCCGCCAGACGTATCGTTTAGTGTTTAGGCAAAATTATAAAATTTTAGTCTTATCTGACCAGAACACCCTTTTTTATGTGACCTCAAAATCTTCAAGGTGTGTTTTGGCAAAGCTCAGTGGTGACAGCATGTGGCCTTTCTTGAGGAGTGGCTTTTGTCTTGCAACCCTCCCACACAAGCCACATTTGTGGAGAATTTGTGATATTGTTGTCACGTGCTCACAATGACCACTCTCTCATAAATTCCTGCAACTTCTTTAGAGTTGCTGTAAGCCTCTTGATAGCCTCTCTGACCAGTTTCCTCCTGGCTCATTCCAGTTTGGAGTGACGTCCTGATCCATGGAGGGTCCGTGTTGTACCAAATACCTTCCACTTCTTAATAATAGACTTCACTGTGCTTCTAGGCATTGATAAAGCCTTTGGAATTTGGATTTTTTTTTATATCCATCTCCTGCCTTGTGATTTTAGAAGGGGGGGGGATTCTTTTCTATACCCACTGTATACACACACACACACACACACACAATGGCCATCACGAGTAAGGGCAGATGATTAATGTAGCATTTACCATCTGCCCTAGTCCATCTACTCTTAGCTCAGGCATGTATGCAGGAGGGTGTGCTTAGCTGAAAAAATCTGCAACCCCTCTTGAAATGTATTACATAATTTGCCTAGGACTGGAAACCAGGAAGTTACTGAAGAAATGTAAAACAATAGTTTAAAACAAGTAAGAATAATATACCTTATCTAGTTAAAAATGCTTTTCTTGTCCGGGAAGCTCTGCTTTATAGGCTATGTTCAACACTGCTAACAACAGAATAGTTACCCTGCCTCAGTTGGTGTCACTTCCTTTCAGTCTAACCCAGTGAGGTGTCACCCCATCGTGGATGCAGTTGCAATTTTCGGATTTTGACATTGCCAGCAGCAGACTAAACAGTGTGGACCTAAAAATGCCATGCGCCAACACTCCAAAAGGCACTACCCAGGAAGTCACTGACCAGGAACAAGCATGCAGTCAGTGAAATGTCTGAACCCGCCTTTATGGAGGTTCTAGGTGACAGGATCGCTAGATACTGAAGATCAATATGACAGCATTTACCATATGTCTATCCTCAGGGGATGTTCTTACATATTACTGCGATTCCCTTTCTCTGGCCATCATCAGCTAAAACCAATTCAAGAGATAATTTTATACAGCCATTTATCTGCATTTAGTAAAGACACTGGGTATTAAAAAAAACTGCTAAAAAGAAGGAAAGAAAAAAAATGCTTTTTTCCCCCCAATTTTAGAAGAAATGCTGAAAGTCTTTAAATACACATCAGAAAGTGAAGCTGTCTTTTCCTTCTCTTCTGAAATTAAATATTACATACGCTGTAAAAAAAAAAAAAAAAAAAAAAAAAAAAAGTCATACATAGCCTGCTGCCATGGCAACACACAGAGATAATGATTAGAATCAGAAAGAGTGGAGGGTTACCTCTAACAGTCTCAATCAGCCCCGGGTCACGCAAATCATATAGAGAGATGTTCAGATATTCTGACCAATAACTTTCTTGGATTCTGCAACAAATTGGAGCCACGCTGATCCGTGGTAATAGATTTGGCAGCGACACAGAAAAGACCCGGCACAGACTGGACAACGGATGCCATTTGTAGAGTTACCTGCGGGTCTTCCACAATGAACTGTGCATGAAAAATGAAAGCGAAATTCCAGTTTTATTGAATAAAAAGTCTTCTGTGCAAATTATATCCACTACAAGGATTTTAGCAAACCCCCATAGAAGATTTCTACTTGCTGGATTTTTGACAACGATTTAGCTCTTGCTATGCTTCATATAGCAAGAAATAGGGAAAGCGCAACAGGTATTCTTGAAAAGCAAGGGGAAGGAATCAGGGAAAGACTCAGGGGTAACAGAAGAAAAAGCAGCCTCAGCCCAGACTTCAGGCCATGTACCCAATGCGTTTCGTCCCACCCACAGGGCTTTGTCATGGAAGACCTCCTTTATGACAAACTGCCCCACTTGAGCTGCACAGGCTCCTGTCTATTTACACAGTGGGATTGATTTAAGATAAACAGACTGTACATGCTGCATGGGTATTGGCTCAAGAGCTCAGTAAATGAGATGAAGCTTCACTTTTCAAAGATTACCAAAAAACATACAAGAAAAAAATAACAAAAAAAAAAAAGCAAGCATTTTGCTTGCATATGATGGAAGTTAGCCAAGTTTCTATTCATTTACAAATCTTTGGAGATAATGGCCTTGCAGAGCGCAACTGCAATGTCTGTATGCCGTTAGTAATTAACCCCAGCGTCTTAGTACCTGTTCAAGCAACTGCCTGGTTAGATTAGATCTCCTCTCTTTGAGGTCAGGGTAGACACTGTCCCATTTTCTTTTCACACATGCTGCTCTTGCATCAGCCTGTCTGCAGGCAAAGGAGCCCTAATCCATAGGAAGCCTACTGACAAAAAAACTTGTACAATCAGCATGCTGTTTTGCTGTAAAACGTGGACACAATTCAGGTGTTTCTTGGGAAAACTGCAAAACCCATTTATCCACTCAGAACAGACATCCCACAGCCATTCAACCTGCATAACTGAGCATTCTGGGTGATACATACACATTTACTTAATGGATGGCCCCTGTTGGCCCCCCCCCCCCCCCCCCCCTTCTCCTGCCCAATAAGAAAAAAAAAAAAAACATACTGCATCTCTCCCCCACCGCCTCTAAGACTGAGAACTGAATGATCAAACACTGCTATTCTCAGTCTTCAGTGAGCAATCACCGGCTCTCTGCTCTGGCCCTCCAGTGCCAGTGGACTACTGGGCTGTGGAGGGGGAGGGAGAGGCTGGCTCAGGCTCTCAGCGTTGCTTTGAGAGGCTGACCCGGCCTCTGTGTGGATCCCAAAATAAAAGTCAGGATCCCTCCAGAGTTTGGACTGGCTGACTGACATCAGCCATCTTTAGCCCTCTGTCATCTGAATACGTGTCACAGGAGTGCAGAAATAAGTTCACAACTGTGACCCACAGAAGGCCAAATGATCTTTGGTCCTACTTCATCCTTTAATAAATTCCAAGTCAATCCCTGGGTAAAGCTTCATCTCTTCTGGCTGCCCCCACATCTACTGCCCCCTGGTCACCATTTTTTTGTTTTTTAGAAATATATTTTAAAGCTCTTTTATAATCACCACTGTAGCGTCCAGTTTTCATTGGTAGACCCAGTGCTGCAGAAGACTGGCCACCTTTTTCAGACATCAACACCCAATGCAGTTGCTGACGCTTTCCTGTTCATTCCTCCCCCCCCCCCCCCCCCCTTTTTCTTCAGTTTAAAAAGGGACGTGCTTTCCTGTGTGTTTTGGTCCATTCCAATGCGTTTTTGCAGTTCTGTGCAGGAAAAATGCAGCCCGTTCTACCTTTTTTTTTTTACTGTAACTGGAATGCACTGGAGCTGCAAGCACTGATGTGAACTATGACATTGACAACCATTTAACCTACTTTTTGGATGCAGATAAAAGCACACTGAAAAGAATGTAGTGTGAACTGGACCTAAGAGAGGCCTTGAAATTTCCACTCGCCTGCTCGCCAATGGCGAGTGTAAATTATGGTGGGGGCGAGTGTGACTCAGAGCTCAGGCCGGATCTGTCATTGTCACTGGGAGCTGTCAGACTGCTCAATAGCTGAGCACAGTGAAAGCAAAGGAAGGAGTGCGTGCTGTGCTCTCTGCCTCCCCCTAGAGTGCAGTACCCAGATCAGTGAGTGAACAACGAAGTACTGCAACTTTTTATAGGGTGTGTGTGTGTGTGTGTGTGTGTGTGTGTGTATATACACGTGTGTGTGTGTTTCGAGTGTATGTATGTACATGTATCTGTGTGTATGCGTGTCTGTACATGCCTGTGTGTGTATACATGTGTCTGTATGTGTGTGTGTTTGCGCATGTGTCTCTGTGCGTGTGTGTACATGTTTCTGTGTGTGTGTGTGTGTGTTGGTGGCGAGTAACTCTTAAGGCCTGGCTAGTAGCTCAAGACTTGAAATTTTAAGCCCTGACCTAAGACATAATAACTTTATTATTATTATACAGGATTTATATAGAGCCAACAGTTTGCTCAGCGCTTTACGATATAATGGGAGATAATACAGCAACAACACAGTTCAATACAAGAGGGATAGGAGGACCCTGATCCTTGGAGCTTACAATCTAGGAGATTTTTTTTTTGTTACATGCAAGCAATGTAGGTACCCCAATATTACTTGA